GCACACAGTTGTTCACTAAGATAGAACAAGTGCCTATCTCGGCACACCCCCCCATTTTGCCAAGACGCACTCCTGGGCGTCTGTTTGAGGGATACATAAGGACGCAATTTGTTTAACGAAGGTCTTCTTCGTGGCGCTGTTTAAGTCTACGTACACACACCCGAAGAAGAGAAAAAGAAGAACATCAAAGGGATATGATAAACACCAGAACACACAAAAAAAAACAAAAAAAAGATATAGAAGAGATAGACAATGTGAAAACGCCAGTAATCAGTGGGACAGCACACTATTAATAACAACTTTTTTTTTTTTTTTTTTACATGCAATTTATTCACACTTTACATACATGACTATCTTCGAGCCTAGCTCGGTTATATATTTACAAGTCTCGGCGATCGACGTTTTCTTCTCAGTAGTTGGTGTTGTTGAAGTTATTTTGACAATCGTTCATATTGGTGGCATCGTAATTATCTTAGTTGTTGATGCCTTGCTCACTTTGCCTCGTAGCTTCAGGTATAGAACTATTGAGGTGATAGTTGTTACACCTACTATACCTATAGCTATTGATAATCCATGTTGATAGAATGATGTTGTTGATTGTATCGGCGTTGGTGTTGGTGTTGTTGTTGTTGCTATCATATATTCGAACATATTCTTTATATCTCCCGGAATGTACGGGATTTTTTCCCATCGTGTATTATTGTTCATTGTTTGGTGTAGATTGATTAAGTTCGAATCATCGTAATTTAATTTTCTGTCATCAATGATTGTAATCCGTTTATCCGTGCCATTTGTTATACTTGGTAAAAGGAAGTGATCACAGCTCCATGTTGTTGATTTATCGATGGTGATCAATGAGATTGGAGGAATGGTTATTTCATTGTTCGTTGTTATAGCATGTTGTTCGTGCTCTAATTGTGGGACCCGGTGACACTTTGTTTCATTTATTGTCGATATTGCCCATTGTTGGCCAATTCGTTGTATAAATATTGGTTCCGGTTCAAGTTCAATGCGACATAACGTCAAGTTTGCGTCGGTAATTATCTCGAATAAGCATGTCTTCTGCCAATTTTTTTGGATTGCTGGTGTTTCACGGCACGACGATAGTAATTTAAATGGAAGTGGCTATGTGCACTCGAGTGCACATAGCCAACTGGCTATGTACACTCGAGTGCACATAGCCAACTGGCTATGTACACTCGAGTGCACATAGCCGACTGGCTATGTACACTCGAGTACACATAGCCAGTCGGCTATGTGCACTCAAGTAGGTATTATCAACTAGTTACTAAATATTGAGATATATTATAGCGATATATGTACTTCATAATTAACATGAGTAAAATTTATTAATTTATTAATAATTTTACTCTATTTATTTGTTGTTAAATTCAAATAGAGTATAAAACAAGTATTAATATCAAACAAATATAAAAGAAAAAGTTAATTCAAATAAAAATCAACTCATTTAGAAATATTTCTAGCGCTTGATCTCTTAGATTTTGAACGAAATGGTTGCATTTTATTATTTTCAATACATCGGACGGAAACTATATCGATGCCAGTGTTTTTCTTCTCTATTAATTCTGCCTTCTTTCTCTATTGATAATTTATAGAACGAAAGATTCTACGTTTTCTTGATTAATTAGCTTACAAAATGGGAAATTGAAAAACATAAAATTCCAATTAGCTTTTAATCTGGAACGAGATATCCTTCTTTTAAGACCCATTGATTAATCCTCACTAAAGAATAAGAATTAAAACAAGATTATAAACTGATATTCTTTCAAGATGAGAAAAAATAGCTGTCAAAATTAGAGATACAATCAGAAACGAATGTAAAAGAAAATTTTATCATTATTGTTTTATAAAAAGATATTTTTATATGATTAATGTTAGTTATATTGAAAATAATGAAAATACAACTATTTCCTTGAAAAATTTAAGAGAGTATGTGCTAGAAATATTTGTATATCAGTCGATTTTTACTTGAATTAACTTTCTCTTTTATATTATTTTGATTGTAATACTTGCTTTGTATTTTATTTGAATTTAATAAAGACTAAATAGAGCAAAATTGTTAATCAATTGATAGATTTTAATTATAATAATTATAAAGAACATATAGGGCTATAATATAACTCAATATTTAGTAATTTTTTGATAATACCAACCTGAGTGCACATAGCCGACTGGCTATGTGTACTCGAGTGTACATAGCCAGTCGACTATGTGCACTCAAGTGTACATAGCCACTTCCAATTTAAATTGACATGAACCGCTTTCTTCTTTTGTCCATCGAATTAGTTCTAATGTTTTGGCTGAGATGCTAACAATATGTGGCATTTGTGCGAGTTTTAATCTCTGGTTTCCTTGGTTAAAAGGTATTGGAATGAGTTCGTATGTTGAGAATGATTGTTGGTTCTTGTTTGATGATGCAAAAAATGATGTAAATAACAGGTGACCGATCACACTTCGTTCTGTTGATTCATTGATGTTGCTTGGAATGAATTCAATTCGTTGTTGTATTAATAATCGATTAATCAATTCGAATATTGGCAGTGTATCGTCCGTTTCCGCCATGTTTATATGGATTTGTTCTGTAATGATTTGTATAACTCGCGGTAAGTCGTAGTGGTGTATAAATCTTAGATTAAGTTTGTTGGCGAAGATGTCTTCGATGGCCTCGTGGATGAAGTGAGTTTCCACTGCGTGAGTCACAGCTGTTAACTCCTTTCTGAGGAGCCTCATCATTGACATCAGTGTTTGAATCGCTATATTATGTTGTTGAAGTACATTTGAATGTTCATTTACCAAAACAATGGTGTTGTTCAAGGCGGCCTGTGTGTGATGTAATTCTTCTATAATTTTAACTTGACCTTTGGTCAGTTGAAAGAGTTGGGTGTTGTGGCCGTTCATTGAGTTTTGTAGTGTGCGGATCGATGTTCTGTCCGCTTTTACCTCCTTCTGTAGGTTATTCATTTGTATTATGTTGCCGGCTGATAATGCCGTTGAAGCTGTTCCAATAGCAATTGAAATAATGTCCATGATGAATCGTTTATTGCGTGGCTGTATTGTATCCTTTTTTCTTTCCTGCTGTTGTATAACGTTTGTTTTTGTTTCACGTTCATTCTTTTCTTGTTTTGTTTTTATGTTGCACTGAGGAATTTTTTTCATGGCTTTCAATGGTATTATATAGCACATGTCGCTCACCATGGGAATTGCTATTGAAATGGATGTTACGTCGTTTGCTGGTTTATATTCCGATAAATATTTCATTATAAGGCCCGATGACTTGTGTAATGTATCACGTTTGGGCAGAATAATTGTCGTTGCTGTAACAACTTGTATAATACATATTGCCATTAGAATTTGCATCGTCGTGTTGTGTTGCATCTTCTTTTAACTAAGTTATGAAATGTACCTGGCGCTTATTAATGGAGAAATAATCCTCCTCCTCCTTCTTCTTCTTCTTCTTCTTCTTCTTTTTCTTCTTTTTTTTTTTCGAAGTGCATCGATTCGATTCATTGGTTGTTTAATTTTTTTTTTTTTTTTTTTGCTAGAAGCGTTTGGTTTTCTTGTTTTACCGCGTAGATTTATATGTATATATATATATATTTTTTTTTTTTTTTTTTTTTTTTTCCATCTGCTTACGTGTCGAATCGATGATATCAGCTATGGTTTAATTCGCCATGTATCGTGTCGGCACCCTGCGGTGACGATTTGACACTCGGCGTTGAATTGGTTGATGACAGGTTGATTGTGGATTTTGTCTCTCCTTTCCTTGATCTAGATCATCTATTGATGGCTCGTCATTATTGATTGACGTTGTCGTTTCTCTTGGATTGATTGTTTTGTCGTTTGTTGTTGTTTCTTGATTGTTTCTCTGTAGTACAATGTATGGTTTGAGGCGATCCGTATTCGTTGCCCCAAGTTCAACGTTATCCTTTATCCGTCGTACCGTGAATGTATTTGATGATAATTGCTGGATTAGACGGCATGGACCTTGATAATGTGGTTGTAATTTTCCACCCATTGAATTGTCTCCAATTTGTGCTGTTAGAGTGGCTACCCATACGAGATCACCTTCAGTATATTCTCTTTGTGTTGTATGTTGATCATATTTTTCTTTTTGTTTTATCTTTTCAATTTCTGCATGTTCTTGAATAACATTATATGCACATCGTAAATTGTTGATCAACTTTCTCTTGTATTCTTGAATTAATCCGTGATCAACTGTTGTTGATCTAGGTCCTTCTGTTGTTTCACCAACTAATAGATCAAGTGGACCTCTGAGATCTCGACCAAACATCATAAAAGCTGGGGTTTCACCTGTTGTTTCGTTCACCGCGGTACGTATTGCAAATGCTAATGTTTGAATTTCATCGTCCCATGAATTGTGTTGTTGTTGAGCATATATGGCAATTAACGGCTTTAATGTTCTATTGACACGTTCTGTCATGTTGCTTTGTGGGTGATAATTTGCAGTTAAATTTTGTTTAATACCTAATGTATCACAAAAATTTTTAAATAAATTTGAGACGAATTGCGGGCCATTATCAGATACAATGTGTTGTGGCAATCCATATCTTGAAAATACTTCGTTCATGAGAATATTGGCCATATCAGTAGATGTAGTTGACTTCAGTGGGAATAGTTCGATCCATCTGGTGAAGTAGTCTACCACGACGAGAAGAAATCGTTTTTGTCTGGCCGTTGTCGGTAAAGGACCCATAATGTCTATGCCGATCGTGTGCCATGGTTCATTCACTAAGTGCATTTGCATTGGGTTTGCTGTTGGAGCATTATTGTATTTAAATTGTTGACATTCTTGACATGCAGCTATATACTTAAATATATCTTTTCTCATTGATTTCCAGTATACTCTTGTTGATAATCTAAATAATGTTTTTTGTTGGCCCCCATGTCCAGCTGTTGGATGATTGTGCGCCCATTCCAATAATTTATTTTGCATTGCTCTTGGAATAATTAGCAGATGTTTTGCCCCCACGATACGTTGATTGTAATGTTTATTGGCGTTTTTAATTTTGTACAATAATCCATTTATAAGAATGTGGGGATTACGTTTATCATTAAAATCTGTTGATGGTTTTGTTTTTAATAATTCTATTATTGGTTTTAATTTGGAGTCAGCTTCTTGTTCTTTTCTTACATCGTCAAGAATGTTTGTATTTTGCCATAAGTTAACAGCTGTTTCGATTGTTGACACTTCGAGTTGATTAATATCATCATTTGGTAATGGATTGCGTGATAACGAATCGGCGTTAGCGTTTAATTTTCCCGGACGATATTTGATTTCTTCAATTTGATAAGCAGATAATTTCATCGCCCACCGGGCCAATCGACCTGTTACATCTTTTGCCGTACGCATCCATTCTAATGCTTTACAATCTGATCTAATATAAATTTTATTACCTTCGAGGTATGGACGAAAATATTTTGTTGCCCATACAATGGCTAATGCTTCACGCTCTGTCGCTCCATATTTTCTTTCGGCAGTTGATAATGTTCGACTTGCGTAAGCTATTACATATTTTTCCCCATCATATTCTTGTGTTAATATGGCCCCTAGGCCATATTCACAA